CAGCGGGTCGGGGAAGCCGAAAGCTTCACAGGGCTCCGTGACGCCCCACACCTCTCTGAAACTTCTGCTATCGTCTCTGTGTGCAGCTTATTGCACACAGCATCGTGCACGTGTATAATGTCATGTGCTATTTAATAAAAATTAATCTCTTTTCAAATTCAGAAAGGTTTAAAAATTAGAACAGACTGAAGTACTGAATTAGCAAATAGCTCAAAGGCAGAGGTAGCTCTTCTTTCAAGTACAGTTTGAGTTGAATTCAGCCTTACTCAGTAAAATGTACTTTCAGAATGGTAAACTTAGTGATTTTTACAGGGAAAGCAGTAAGTTTAACACAGAAAAAATATTTACAATAATGTAAATTATTTTCTATAGCGTCTGCATTGCCTTGAACTAAATTATATTGATTTTGATTTTTCTCTTTCTATGTATAATAAAGAGCATCCACTATCCACTCCTGAATTCAGTGTTTACAAYTTTTTAGTAACTCTTAACTACACAGCATCAAAATACACTCAACCAGCTCAAGATAAGTTTCTTATCTATCTAAATTCTACAAACTGAGTATGGGCTCATATAAAGATTTGCTGATCTGTACAGGACTGATTTAAGCATTATTCCTGTAGCTTATCAAATACACAACACCAAATTTTAATGAATTTATTTGAAATAATATACAAGAATATAGTGTGCAAAAAAAAAAAATCTTAGGGGCAACGTTATGTAGACGTGTCATGAACTGAAATTTACAGTTGTGATTCTTAAAAAAAAAAAAAAAAAAGAAAGAAAGAAAAAAACAAGCCCCAGCTGTTTAGTAGGAAAAGCCATGATTGTAGAAGTTCACAGCAAAAGCAAGGGTAGCTCTAATGCATCTGCTCTAATTCTTGACAGTTGAGTTGGAGGAAAAACAATTTAAAAAAAAAAAAAAGTAAAGTGCAAGTGTTGCACGTATAGTTAAGTGCAAAGTTTGCCCCCACCGTAAAGATGTCTTATGGCAAAATAAAATATTATCCGAGAGTATGTGGCAAAGACAAAACACCAAGTTCAAACTACGATGGTGACGATACCAAAGCACCGCTTTCCCTCCCGCTGCCCGCGGGCTGCGCCCTGGCTCCCGTGTCCACGGCGCTGGGTGCAGCAGGTCCCCGGGGACGCGCGGCGCCGGCCCCACGGCTGCGCTGGCAGCGGGTGCAGCAGG